GTGGCGCTGGGGCCCGGCAGGGCTGGATGCCCTCAGCACCACCTTCTTCCACGTGCCTGACCTGGCCGATCTGGACTGCTGGGAGGTGGCAGAGGCCGGGGGGGAGCTGCGGTACTGCTGTGTGCTCTGTGGGCAGGGCCTGGAGATGCTGCATGGCACAGCCCCCCCTGAGCCCCCTCCGCCAGAGGCTCCCCAGTAACGAGGCAGGTGTGGAGCACACCCTGCTCCCCAGCTGCCAGGGGAGGGCACCCTGCAGTGCCTGTCACTGCAGCCCCTGTCCCAGCCTGTGTGCTGATGTGTCCCTTCTTGAGGAGATGGGTGCCCTTGGCTCCTTTGGGGACAGCACAGCCACGCCTGGGGTGCTCAAGGCTGGCAGTCTCAGGGGAGAAGGTGGATGTGACTAGCCCTGGACAAGCCTGCAGCTCGCCAGGCATTAAAGGAGGAGTGGGGCTGTCAGCCCACCCTGCCCAGGAGAAGTTCTTCCTCCCTAAGGTGTGAGGGACCCACATCCAAGTCTTCCAGCCCAGGTCCCAGAGAGGAACCTGCCTGGGACGGTGCTGAGCACCGTGCCCAGCCCTGGGAGGGCAGCAGGAGGCCAAGATCAGTCAGGCACTGGTGTGCCACGTGGCAGGCTGCAGCCTTGTGCTCCCTGGGATGGGGCCCTTCGTGACAGCCCTGACGCTGCAGTGCTGGGGCCTGTGCTGAGATGAGTGGGGACCTGAATCTTCTGCAGCACCACCCTGCAGGACGAGGGGTGGCAGCCCAAGGTGTGCTGTGCCAGCCTGGGCCCAGCCACCCCCCCTCAGAGCAGCCCTTTGGCGCTGCCTCAAGCCGAGCGGGTTGTTCCTGTGCAGCTGCCGGACCAGCACAATCGGAGCACAGGGAAGGACAATCGGCTGCACGTGGCCCCAGCCCCACATGGGGGAAGGTGCTCTGTTCCAGTGAAGACACACAGAGCATTTGTCCAGCAACAAGTGTATTGGACCCTGGTATCGGGGCCTGGTGCCTCGGGAGCTCCCTGCCAGCATGGAGCAACCTTCAATAAACAGCTTTGAGGGAGGCAGTTGGTGCCTGGTCCCTGGTGCTGCCTCCCCCAGTGTTCCCAGCCTGGCTCGCAGGGTGCCACAGGCATCTTCTGCTGGTGTGGATGGGGTGGGCACACCCCTCTCCCCCGCTGGGCACAGCCGCGGGGTGCACACAGACAAACCCTCAAACTTGCACAGGCACTGAGAGGGAAAGAACCTGCAGGGGGCTGAGGCGTGCCCTGACGCCTGGCCTGATGGGGCAGCCCCTTGCCCTGCCAGGGAGGACGTGCCCCATCCTTCCTGTCGTGACATGTTGTCCTGGTGCTTGTCACACTGTGGCATGGCAGCTCAGATCTGGCTGAGAGGAGGGAGGTGCAGAGTCGCCAGCGCGCTGTGGAACACATTCCTCACTGCTCCCAGCAGCTGGAGGCGGGCAAACATCTGGTCAAAGAGGTGAGGGAACGGCTCCTGTGGGGAGAAAGGCAGTGAGTTCGGGCTGGTGGCCATGTTGCCCCTCGACACGCTGACCCTAGAGGCACTGCTGCTTCTGCACCCTGTGTACACACCCTTGAGGGGCTGGTGCAGCATCACGCTGCTGGCACCCCAAAGCCCGTTCCCAACACAGCTGCCCCACAGCTGCAGTCCAGCCCTTGGATGGTCTGCAGGGCCACAAGCCTGCAGGCCCAGGACATCTGACTCACCCCAAGGATGTGGACGCGGTTGTAGTAAGAGCTGAAATCCATGCTGAGCTGGATCAGGAACTTGCAGACCTGCAAGACAGAGAGCTTCTGCTGGCACGGTGGTGTCTGGCCGGTCCTGGGCCCTTCCCCACCCCAGGCACAGCAGGAGCAGCCCCAGGGGGTGTTGCAGTCTCTCCCATCGGCACCACTACTGCAGTGCATCACTTACTGGTGGGCAGCACCTTGTCAGCACGTAGCTTTGCCCTGGGCTGGGACTGTCAGAGCAGCACCCATGGTATGGCACGTGGCACTTACTGTCTCCGTGTTGGCTGTGATCCGGATCCCCTTGGTGGGTGCAGGCAGCTGTGCTGCCTGCTGCAGGACTTCAGGGAAGGGCAGGAGATAGTTGAAGAGCAGGAGCCATTCGCCCTGTGAAAGGATTGTGTGTTGGAGAGGGCTGGATCCTCCTGGGCCAGCAGCATCCAAAAAAATGCAGGTCCCCACATTCCCCTTCTCAGCACTCACCTCTTCCCGGAGGCAGGAGAAGTTCAGTTCTGACGCTGGTGGCAGAGGTGGGTACGTGCCTGGAAAGGAGGTGGGAGACTGTTGTTGTGCCCGGAGAAGCCCCTGTGGCTCCAGGTGTGAGGAACAGCCCAGCAGTGGCTGTGAGAGGAGGGTCACGGGGCTGGTGCTCACCCCGCTCCACAGCCCGCTGGAAGGTGTCGAAGAGCGTGGCTAACCGGGCGCAGTTGTACATCACGAAGGCGCCGCTCTTGGTTCCCTTCGTGGAGATGCTGCTGTCCTCCAGGTCCAGGGTGATCTGAGGGCGGGGAGAAGTCGCAGTCCAGGCTGCTCAGCACAGAGCCACTCCGCTGTTCCCACCTGCCTGCCCCGGCTCTGCGCAAACCGCTGTCCTACCTGGCTCCGGTGAGCAGTGCTCAGCAGCTCAAACCTGATGGCAGCCGCTGTCAGGGTATCGATCACCTCAGTCCAGGCCTCATCTGTGGAGAATGCAGGTGGCATCACGCACAGCTCGCTCCATTTCCTCCCCACCAACACCCAGGTAGGAACCCCCCCCGGGCCCACGGGGCTCTGATGGAAGCTGGGGACCACCCCACTTCCCCAGCCCTGGCCCCCACCTGCAGGTGCTGCTCTGTGCTGGTGCCCCGTGTGGCAGTTTAGACACCTTCCCCCGAGGAAGGCCAGCACCCGGCTCCATCAGAGGGGAGAGGAAGCACCGTGCAGGGGAGAGCCCCACTGCTGCAGACTCGGAGGCGAGTGGGGGAGACTCATGGGAACCGTGGAGATGGGGATGGAGCAGCACCGACGCGTGGAGCCGAAGAGCAAACCCTCACCTTGCGCAAGCTCCCCGTACTTCATCACGGAGGCTTCGTACATCTGGCGCTTTCGGAGCCTGGGAGGAACACAGACACTCGCAGCCGCCGCCCCTGGGCTGAGCTGGCCCCAGAGAGCGCCCCGGGGCTCCCCCAGCCTTGGGGCTGCTTGGGGCATCCCGGCTGCGGCAC